AGCCCTCCTTGTTGGCACTCCACACCAGGTTCAGTCATCCTCCATAACTCACCTCACCTTCGACGGTCAGGTCATCCCCCTCTCCTCCACAGTCACTAATCTGGGAGTTAGGTTTGACCCATACCTGACCTTTAATGACCATATAAAACACCTTTGCAAAACCTTGTTTTATCATCTCAAAAACATCTCCAAACTCCGCCCCACTTTAACCCTGTCAGATGCAGAGAAGCTCATCCACGCCTTTATCTCCTCAAGACTGGACTACTGTAACTCACTATTCACTGGGAGCACTGCCAAGAACATCCAGAAGCTGCAATACATTCAAAACAGCGCTGCCAGGATCCTGATGAGAGTCCGGAAGTATGAGCACATAACACCCATTCTGCACTCACTACACTGGCTCCCTGTCTCATTCCGGATTGACTACAAAGTCCTACTACTCACACATAAATGCATAAATGGACACGCACCTCCCTACCTACAAGAACTCATCACTCCCCAAATCTCCACCCGCACCCTCAGATCATCAAACAGCTCGCTCCTCCGGGTCCCCAACACCAAGCTCTGCACCATGGGTGACCGGGCCTTTGGCTCGGCAGCTCCACGCCTATGGAACAGTCTCCCTGAACACCTAAGGGCAACACAGACACTGGTCTCTTTTAAAACTGGCCTAAAAACCTTTTTATTCAGGAAGGCGTTTCTGACCTAAATCACTGTCAGTTATTTCTTTTGTGTTTCTGTTCATTCACTGTTTTTTTATGCTTACTAGTTATTTTATTATAGTTTGTTTTAACTATGTTTTAACTATGTTTTTTACTATGTACTGGCTCTGTGGCACTCTGAGATTTTTTAATGAAAAGTGCGTTACAAATAAAATGCATTATTATTATTATTACTATCTATCTATCTATCTATCTATCTATCTATTTAATGTTTTGAATGGAACGGGTTTAATATCTAGAATGTAACTTATTTATGAAATTTTTTAAAAGTGTTCTTTTTTGTTATATTCTTTAATTTATAAATAACGTTATTATTGTGTTTAAATGATAACTGTCATAAAGTCATGATGTTAAACACTCCGGTCCAGTAGGTGGCGGCAATCACCTTAAACGGTGGTGTGTAGTCCGCCATTAAACTGAAAGAAGAAGAAGAAGAAGAAGCAGCAGAAGAAGAAGAAGAATATTCATGAAGAAGAAGAATATTCATCTCCCGGTAGCCTACAAAGCTAATGAAGTTAGCTTAGCATGCTAGCTGGAAACAGACCGACGGGGACGGGAGTTATCAACACAGCGCTAGTCAGAGTTTAATGAGAGTAAACGGTGATTTTAACGGAGTTTGTCTGGAGGAAAAGTTTCTGTCGCTGGTGGATTGTTTCCTGGTGTCCTACGGAGCTAATGAAGTTAGCATGCTAGCAGGAAGTAGACGGACCCGAACGTAACCTGGTAACACAACACAGCGCAGGTCAGAGTGAGCAAACCGTGTTTAACGGAGTTTGTCTGGAGGAAACGTTTCTGTAGTTTAGTGAAAATGTCTAAAGTCCAAATGTTGAGATGTTTAGTCAACCAGCGACTAACTGCGGCTGCTGAAGAGATATTTGGTCTGTTTGAAAGAACGATAGCAGAGTACGAGGAGGAACTTTCTCGTTCAAACGAGCACAACGAGCGACAACAGAAACTAATGGACGCTGTTTTATACCCTCAGTTGCGGTTACACAGAGCAGGTTGGTTCTCTTTATTTCTTCTGTTCAAGCTCCAGCTGATAACTTTTAATGTAGTTTGGAGTGAGACTCGGTTGATTCAATGAATCTTTTTCTTCTTCTTCTGATCTGTTCTCTCTGCTTCTAGATGACAGAAAATATTTACACTTGAAGTACAAGTTTGTTCTCTTTGATAACACCACGTGGATTTTGCAGCTCGTTGAATTCTAAAGTGGTTCATATGTTCATGGTCACATAAGAGTTGATTACATTATTATATCATCCATGGAGCCAAATCCAGGCCAATAGATTTGATCATTTGAAAGTTCAAGTTGTGGTCTTGAACATTTAAAAATACAGCAATGAATTCAAAATAAAAATACTTGAATGAAAAGTTTTTTTGGGTTGAATAGACAGACAGACAGACAGACAGCGGAGCTGGATGAGTCTGTTGGAGAAAGTGCTCCGCTGTCCCTGCAGTAGGTGGTGGAGAGGGTGGTCCGGGTTATCCAATATGGATAATAGTTTCTTCAGTGTCCTCCTCTCCACCACCTGTTCCAGATTGTCCAGTTTGCAACAAATGATGGAGCCGGCCTTCTTAACCAGTTTGTGGAGTCTGTTGGTGTCTCCGGCTCCAATGCTGCTCCCCCAGCAGACTACGGAGAAGTACAGTGCACTGGCCACAACAGTCCGATAGAACATTTCCAACATCTTGCTGCACACGTTGAAGGATCGAAGTTTCCTCAAGAAAAAGAGTCGACTCATCCTCTTCTTGTACACAGCGTTGATGTTGGTCTGCCAGTTCAGTCTGTTGTCGATGGAGACACCCAGGAACTTGTACTCCTCCACCATGTCCACATCCTCTCCCAGAACTCTCAGCGATTGTGGAGCCGTCGTCGTCCTCCTGAAGTCGACCACCATCTCTCTGGTCTTGGCCACGTTCAGAAGCAGGTGATTTCTACCGGCCCACTCCACAAAGTCACCCACAACTGCCCTGTACTCCTCCTCCCGTCCGTCCCTTATACACCCGACCACTGGAGAGTCATCAGAGAACTTCTGCAGATGGCATGACCCTGAGTTGTACTGGAAGTCAGTGGTGTACAAGGTGAACAGGAAGGGAGACAGAACAGTTCCCTGTGGAGCTCCAGTATCACTGACCACCCCATCAGACAGCACACTGCCCAGTCGGACAAACTGTGGTCTGCCCGTGAGGTAGTCAGTGATCCAGGAGAAAGTGGACGCGTGAACCCCACCACCTGCAGCTTCACACTTGGTTGAATGGTGTTAAATGCACTGGAGAAATCAAAGAAGGTGATTCTCACAGAGCCACCGGTTCCATCCAGGTGCGACTGAGCTCTTTGCAGCAGGTAGATGATGGCGTCGTTCACTCCCACATGAGGCTGGTATGCAAATTGCAGAGGGTCCAGTGAGGATTTCAACTGCGGTCGGAGGTGGGCCAAGACCAGCCTCTCCAGCAACTTCATCACATGTGATGTGATGAATATAATTTTGATTCAGTTCTGGAATTGTTTTGAATAAAATATTTATTTTAATTTTTCACTTTCATTAATGTTTTGATATTTGAGGTCTTATATTTTTCACTTTCAGATTTTATATTTTCAGATTCAAATCGGTTTTTTTCAGTTCAGACTTTTGTCCCTGATCTAACGTGGGGGGCATGGCATCAACTGAGAGGGGTGTGTAATCATGAGGGACAGCATAACAAAGAAGGCTGAGGACCGTCCTCAACCATGTTGCCTTCAGGGAACGTAGGCACCGTGAGAATCATGATTCAACCCTTTCTATACACCATATTCACGTGTGAAGGCAGTGGGGAAAACTGTGAGCGGCAGCTATCCTGAAGGAGACTTTGAAGGGAACCAGCTACTGGTTCGATTAGTCTTTCGCCCCTAGTCTTTCACTCCTGTCCTAAAGACATCTGCAGGCCAATTTTGAATCATAGTCATAGCGCCACCTACTGGTAACAGTAAGTTAAAGTCTTTATACTTTGGCTTGTTTCTCTTAGTAGGTAAATCAGATCAACATCAAGTTAGTTCCACACAAATGTAAGAAGTTCATGAAGCTTTTGATGTTTCGTCGAACGCTGTTGCCCATGCGTTGATCAAAGCACATGATCAAATCTCAACCGGACTTTATGCAGGTTCTTTGAATACTTAACAATGTTGGGTAGTGCCACACTTTTATGCCATGTAAACTATTGATGACCTCATCGCTGCTGGTGCGTTGTCTTAACAATTTGTGTCGGCATGTCTGTTTGGTAACTGCACAGGGAGTGTTTAACTGCCATAAAGGTTATTCATGTCATTGTTTAGTTTATATGTTGTTGTTGTTGTTGTTTGTGTCGGTATGGGTTTTGTTTTGTTTTTGTATAAAAGGGGGGAACTATTGTTGCGTGTTTTGTTTGTACTGGGACGTGTTTGACTGTGGCACAGTGACAGCAGGATGATACGTGAAGCCACTTAAGTCATTCAATGTGGTAAAGTAAACTAAAAGTTAAAGTGTTACGGTACAAGTTAAAGCAGGGGTCTCAAACTCATTTTCCGTCCGGGCCACATCAGCATCGTGGTCGCCGACAAAGGGCCGGTTGTAAATGTAACTACTCGTAACATATTGTTAAATAACTCTCTGCATTTGATTATTGTTTATTCAAGTGTAAAAATATTGTACATGCAGTTATATAAATGTAAAAATATATTTAAGCACATTTCTGTTATTATAACTTAAATCCTTTTAATTTAGGGTTAAGAAACCCGCATTACTCTATCAAAGATCGAACTTTTAAAGAAAATGGCAAAGACAAATATCAAACAAGTTATTACAATAACTTTGTTCAAAGCTTAAAATCCTTTCAAGGGTGCGTTTGCACAATACCACGTGAAGTATTTCATGTGTTTTAAAGCCACGTTTAAAGTAGTCTTCAATGTACTCGCAATACATTCCATGTCAAGTGTACAGTAACCAGCCAAAGAGCTGCTTCTATGACTGTGTTTTTAAGTATCTCATCATTTTGACTTTCAATCTCATCATTTTGACTTTCTACCTCAGAATTTTGACTTTCTATCTCAGAATTATGACTTTCTATCATGGTTATGACTTTCTATCTCATCATTTCGACTATGGGGATATTTTTATTATCAACTCTAACTTAAAAAAAAACAAAAAACTGTTTTAAACTTCTTTTTTTTTTTTTTTTTGCTGGCGGTTTCGCGGGCCACATAAAATGACGTGGCGGGAGTTTGAGACCCCTGAGTTAAAGTGATCGTGTTTTCAAGTGGACTCATTCCCTCTCGGTTGTGTGCAGCCAGTGAGGTACGTTACGCATGTTAAATCTGTCATTGTGCATATTTGCGTTTAAACTGTGTTTATGTAATGTTACTGTCGGATTGTTTGTATGTCTAAATGTAATTTATACAGTTAGATGGTGGATTGAGGACAGTGGTGTAAAAGGAGAAATAAATTCATCAGTAGAAAAGAACTAAAGGTGTCGTGTATTTCCTGGAGGGAATGATGGCAGGAAAATGTATGTACAGGAGACTATTTGCTCAATACTAAAATTTCTTTGTGGCATCTCTGTGTGTGTCTACTGTTTTCCTGCAGATGTCCAACAGCTGTTGGTGGGTAAAGAAGAGGTTCCCCCTGAGCAGCAGGAGTGGAGCTCCAGTCTGGACCAGGAGGACCCAGAGCCCCCATACATTAAAGAGGAACAGGAGGACCCAGAGCCCCCACACATTAAAAAGGAACAGAAGGACCCAGAGCCCCCACACATTAAAGAGGAGCAGGAGGACCCAGAGCCCCCACACATTAAAGAGGAACAGGAGGAACTCTGGATCAGTCAGGAGGGAGAGCAGCTTCAAGGACTGGAGGAGGCTGATGTCAAGCTCTCATTCACTCCTGTGAAGAGTGAAGATGATGAAGAGGAAGCTCAGTCCTCACAGCTTTATCAAAGACAAACTAAACAGATGGAAACAGAAGCTGATGGAGAGGACTGTGGAGGACCAGAACCAGACAGAAACTTAGATCCAGATAGACATCCAGAACCAGATACTGATGACAAGACTGGAGACTCTTCTGACACTGATGATTGGAAGGAGACCAGAGAACCTCAGTCAGGTTTAAACTCTGTGAAACCTGATGAAGTCCTTGTCAGTGATTCAAGATGTAGTACTAGTGAGAAACTTTTTAGATGCTCTGAGTGTGAGAAAACATTTGGCTCCCGAGGAATTCTGAAGAAACACACGAGAATCCACACAGGAGAAAGACCTTACTGCTGCTCAGTCTGTAATAAGTATTTTGCATATAAACAGGTTTTACAGGACCACATGAAAGTCCACACAGGAGAGAAACCTTACAGCTGCTCAGTCTGTAATAAGTCTTTTGCACGTAAACGGGGTTTACAGGAACACATGAAAACCCACACAGGAGAGAAACCTTACAGCTGCTCAGTCTGTAATAAGTCTTTTGCACGTAAACAGGGTTTACAGGAACACATCAAAACCCACACAGGAGAGAAACCTTACAGCTGCTCAGTCTGTAATAAGTCTTTTGCATATAAACAGGTTTTACAGGAACACGTGAAAATCCACACAGGAGAGAAACCTTTCAGCTGCTCAGTTTGTGATCAAAGATTTAGGCAGAGCGCAGCTATAAAGGTACACATGAAAACTCACACAGGAGAGAAACCTTACAGCTGCTCAGTTTGTGATAAAAGATTTAGGCAGAGCGCAGCTATAAAGGTACACATGAAAACTCACACAGGAAAGAATCCCCTTTAGCCCTTTTACCCAATCAGCCCTCCACATATCCCTTCGAGCGGTGGGCCCGTAGGGCGGCTGCTCAATGTAGATTTTTCGGGTTGCTCCTGGTCGAACCATATGTATCATGTCCCGGAAACCAGACCCTCACCAGCAGCAATATGCTTTTTGTTTCTTTCATTGTTTAATCAAAATGATTGATTTGAAGGGTAAATATGGAGACAAGTGTATTGGCATACAGATGAGTATATGTATGTGTGTTTGAGGCATCATGTCTTGAAATAAATCCTTGTATTTTAGTTTATATTGATAAATATTTGATTGTTATTTTCTATGTAAAATGTTTTGCTTTCCATCTCAATAAAAAGAGAATAATAAAACAAAAGATATCCACTCACAGCAACCGTTGGATACACAAACTACCAAGCAGACATATCAGAGAAGCTAACCCACGCAGGTTGGACAGCCGACCCCGCTTTCCCCGGGGCAGGATCCGTTCACGCTACACTACCAAGCAGACATATCAGAGGTTCAGGAAAAGTTCATTCTTTAAAGTAGTTTCCCCGTACTCCTCACTTTAATTATTATTATTAGATTAGTATAAAGATTCAAAGGTCCTAACATTTAATAGTCATTTTGATCTTCCAGAAAAAGATGTTGATTTTACTGACTCAGCTCAGTCATTTTTATTATTCTTTTTTTATTCGGACAGGCCTCGTTTTTGTATCTGTGTATGGTGTTGGTGTGTTTGGACGAATAAAAATGTAAATGCAAAAAGAAAGCAGGATTTTAAACCAGAAATGCACTGAGGAACAATAATGACTTCTAAAGTCTACACAGGTCACATATCGTAGCAGCACGTCGGCTAACACAGATACTTAAATTATAATGTCACGTAATAATGACTTACTCCTTGTCACTAAGTCCAGAGCTGTCTGTTGAGGAGTTGTTCTTCTCAGACATACACACACACACAGGTTTTAATACAAATGGTGGAGTGCTAAATATGGAAGCCAATTTCCCCGACTGTGATGAAAAGTAAAGATCCTGTAAGTAATATTAATGAGAAAGTATCTCAATATTTTGACTTAGTAGGCATGACCAGAGTAAGTTCAAAATATATGTAATTTAAAATGTAATATGTGACGTCATCCACTCGCCGACAAGCAGTCTGCTGGCACAACACCCCAGTGCCCTCCTCCTCTCCGGTGACTTTAATCATGCCCCTCCATCCTCCACTCTGCCCACATTCACCCAATACGTCACATGCCACACCAGGGACAATAAAACACTGGATCTGTTCTATGCCAACACCAAGGAGGCATACATTTCATCACCTCTCCCTCCCCTGGGAAGATCTGACCACAACCTGGTGCACCTCCGGCCTGTGTACAAACCTCTTGTACAAAGGCAGCCAGCTGTGACTCGCACAGTAAAAAGATGGTCCGAGGAAGCCGAGGAGGCTCTGAAAGACTGTTTTGACTCTACTGTGTGGGAAGTATTCAGTGATGACCATGGGAAGGACATTGACAGTCTCACTAACTGCATAACGGACTACATAAACTTCTGTGTGGAGAACACCGTACCCACCAGGACTGTATGGTGTTTTTCCAACTGCAAACCATGGATCACTCCCGAAATATAGGCCCTCCTCAAGGGGAAGAAGAGGGTCTTTAGATCAGGAAGTAAGGAGGAGCTGCGACTGTACAGAGGGAGCTGAGGAGGAAGATCAGGGAGGGGAAAAAAATCTACAGGACAAAGATGGAGGACCAGCTGCAGCAGAACATCAGCGGGGTCTGGAAGGGCCTCAAGGCGATGTCTGGCTACAAGGGGCCCAACCAACAGCCTACGGGGGTCCAAAAGTGGGTGAATGACTTGAACACATTCTTTAACAGATTTGATCAGTCATCCACCCCTCCCCCCAACCAGCCCCCCCTGCTGCTGCAACCTCCTTTGGCTGCACCCCCTGTAGATTGTCCCCCTCCTCCACCCCCTTCCCCACAACACCCGGCTTCCCCCCCCCCACAGACACACACACACACACACTCCTCAAACACTACACTACATGACCAGCGCCCCTCCCCCACCCCCCTCCAACAACCTACGGCACACCACTCCCACCCCCCAGCTTGTCCTTCACAACTTACCAGGTGAGAAAAGAACTGAAGAAGATCAAGGTGAGAAAGGCCACGGGTCCGGACGGCATCAGTTCAATGCTCCTCAGGTCCAGCGCAGACCAGCTGTGCGGGATAGTGGAGTACGTCTTCAACTTGAGCTTGAAGCTGGGGAGAGGACCACAGCTGTGGAAAACACCCTGCGTGGTACCAGTCTCAAAGACCCCGCGACCCAAGGACTTCAACAGCTTCAGGCCGGTGGCGTTAATGAAGTATCTATCTATCGGTCCTCGGCCTCATCCTCTTCATTATTTACATGCTCCCCCTCGGTCGTGTCATCAGCAGACATAGGATGTCTTTCCACTGTTATGCCGACGATACACAGCTCTACATCAAAGCTGCCCCAAGCCCCTCTGCAGCCATGTCATGTCTCACCTCCTGTCTTGGGGAGATAAAGGCGTGGATGAGCAACAACTTTCTCCAGTTAAATAGTATCAAAACCGAAGCCCTCCTTGTTGGCACTCCACACCAGGTTCAGTCATCCTCCATAACTCACCTCACCTTCGACGGTCAGGTCATCCCCCTCTCCTCCACAGTCACTAATCTGGGAGTTAGGTTTGACCCATACCTGACCTTTAATGACCATATAAAACACCTTTGCAAAACCTTGTTTTATCATCTCAAAAACATCTCCAAACTCCGCCCCACTTTAACCCTGTCAGATGCAGAGAAGCTCATCCACGCCTTTATCTCCTCAAGACTGGACTACTGTAACTCACTATTCACTGGGAGCACTGCCAAGAACATCCAGAAGCTGCAATACATTCAAAACAGCGCTGCCAGGATCCTGATGAGAGTCCGGAAGTATGAGCACATAACACCCATTCTGCACTCACTACACTGGCTCCCTGTCTCATTCCGGATTGACTACAAAGTCCTACTACTCACACATAAATGCATAAATGGACACGCACCTCCCTACCTACAAGAACTCATCACTCCCCAAATCTCCACCCGCACCCTCAGATCATCAAACAGCTCGCTCCTCCGGGTCCCCAACACCAAGCTCTGCACCATGGGTGACCGGGCCTTTGGCTCGGCAGCTCCACGCCTATGGAACAGTCTCCCTGAACACCTAAGGGCAACACAGACACTGGTCTCTTTTAAAACTGGCCTAAAAACCTTTTTATTCAGGAAGGCGTTTCTGACCTAAATCACTGTCAGTTATTTCTTTTGTGTTTCTGTTCATTCACTGTTTTTTTATGCTTACTAGTTATTTTATTATAGTTTGTTTTAACTATGTTTTAACTATGTTTTTTACTATGTACTGGCTCTGTGGCACTCTGAGATTTTTTAATGAAAAGTGCGTTACAAATAAAATGCATTATTATTATTATTACTATCTATCTATCTATCTATCTATCTATCTAT